CACTACTATTGATGGTTAACAAAGGATAATTACTCACACAACTGACTGACTTAGCATGGGTCCTAGTCACTATTAGTGATGGCCAATAACAAAGTATAATTACTCACACAACTGACTGACTTAGTATGGGTCCTAGCCACTATTAGTGATGGCCAATAACACAGTATAATTACCCACACAACTGACTGACTTAGCATGGGTCCTAACCACTAATAGTGATGGCCAATAACACAGTATAATTACTCACACAACTGACTGATTTAGCATGGGTCCTAGCCACTACTAGTGATGACCAATAACACAGTATAATTACCCACACAACTGACTGACTTAGCATGGGTCCTAGTCACTATTAGTGATGGCCAATAACACAGTATAATTACTCACACAACTGACTGACTTAGTATGGGTCCTAGCCACTATTAGTGATGGCCAATAACAAAAAAGTCAGTTCATTACAAGTTAATATTTATTTTGCAGTTTAATTGTGAAATCAGAAAGTTTTATGTAATATATTTTTGTTTACTTTCTTCTACAACTGAGTTGGAACAAAAAACAACAAAGTTATGTAGAGAACATATTAACAAATAAACATCACTGTCTTGGTTCATACATATTTCAAAATGAAAGATTACAACACGTATTGAAAACGATTCAATCTAACAAAGATAAAAAAAGTGATATTATTAAAATTATGTGAAATACTTTTGTAATGTATGCAAAGATTACAATTTTATAATTATTCTAGGACTAATAAATTATCATTTTCTACATGATCATAATAAATACTGATATGCCAACCACTGCTGATCACTACCTTTAACTACAGATTTATAAAATACTTCACAGCTTCTCTCTCAGATGTGAGGGGAGTTGAACTACAGATTTATAAAATACTTCACAGCTTCTCTCTCTCAGATGTGAGGGGAGTTTAACTACAGATTTATAAAATACTTCACAGCTTCTCTCTCAGATGTGAGGGGAGTTTAACTACAACTTTAAAAACACTTCTCAGTTTCTCTCAGATGCAGGAGAAGTTTAACTACAGTTTTAAAAACACTTCTCTGTTTCTCTCATAGATGTAGTTGCAGATTCAAATAAAGTGTTTTGCTTTTTCACTTATAATAAATCAGAACTTAATTATTAAAAAAACAAAACTCAGAGAAAAGGTAATGGTGATTTTTATTATATTTGAAAAAGGCATAGAAAACTAATGGAATTACACAAAACTATTGGAATGACAGAGAAACTAATGGAATGACAGAGAAAACTAATGGAATGACAGAGAAAACTAATGGAATGACAGAGAAAACTATTGGAATGACAGAAAACTAATGGAATGAGACAAAACTATTGGAATGACATAGAAAACTAATGGAATGACAGAAAACTATTGGAATGACAGAAAACTAATGGAGTGACGCAAAACTAATGGAATGAGACAAAACTAATGGAGTGACAGAAAACTAATGGAATGAGACAAAACTATTGGAATGACATAGAAACTAATGGAATGAGACAAAACTATTGGAATGACATAGAAACTAATGGAGTGACAGAAAACTATTGGAGTGACAGAAAACTATTGGAGTGACAAAGAAAACTAATGGAATGACAAAGAAAACTAATGGAATGACAAAGAAAACTAATGGAATGACATAGAAAACTAATGGAATGATACAAAACTAATGGAATGACAGAAACTAATGCAGTGACAGAGAAAACTAACAGAATGACAGAAAACTAATGGAATGACAGAGAAAACTAATGGAGTGACAGAGAAAACTAATGGAGTGACATAGAAAACTAATGGAATGACAGAAAACTAATGAAATGAGACAAATTAATGGAATGACAAAGAAAACTAATGGAGTGACAGAGAAAACTAATGGAATGACATAGAAAACTAACGGAATGACATAGAAAACTAATGGAATGACATAGAAAACTAACGGAATGACATAGAAAACTAATGGAATGACATACAAGTATAGCTTACTTATATATTTCTTTGTGATGATGTATAGAATTATTTTTACAAATTAATTTTCTTTATATAATACTGAACAGATTAAGGAAACTTGATTTCATATATTGAACTGGTAAATAAGAGTAACACCTAGGGTGTGTACACATATTAAAACTGCTAATCACTAACATACAATTAACTTAGTGGAATTGTAGTAAAGTTTACTTACTGGAGACAGTTTAGTGTGACTAACAGGTATTGAACTGGTAAATAAGAGTAACACCTAGGGTGTGTACACATATTAAAACTGCTAATCACTAACATACAATTAACTTAGTGGAATTGTAGTAAAGTTTACTTACTGGAGACAGTTTAGTGTGACTAACAGGAAGGAGTGGACGTTGGAATCTCTGCTGAGACCCAACAGCTGTTGCCAGAGGTGGTGAAGAAAGACTAGCAGCAACAAAATTGATGGTGTTCACCCAATCAACCAAGTCAGCTGAGTCACTGTAAACCAACACAACTTATCAGACTGACAAACAATAACTGGTGAACATGATGTTACAAAGTAGGGTTTCTTACTTAAAAAGTATTATCTTCTTACTATGGCAGATGTGATGTTAACTTGTCAAGTATATATTTTTAACCTGAGTAGAACCTTACACAACACATGTGCTAAATAGCCATCCCTAGGAAGAACCATACAGTCTAAAGAAGAAATTTTCAGATTTGTGGTTTGTTCCTAAATGTTGGGAGTTTCACATAAGAACCCTTCGTCCACTTTTACAGGACTTCCTGGGAGCCAATATCTCAAGGAACAACAAATTACCACTCAAACTGTTTTATTTACATTATAATAATGTAGATAGACTGTTTTATCCAATTGTGTCTAGCTATTTTCAAAGCTGTGCTTCATTACTAAGTGTTCATATCACATACTGTGGCATCATAAAAGGTGTGACAATAAAAAGTTTTAGTAATAAAACTAATGGCAGAGAGGGAAAATAACATGAAAAATATAAAACAAATAATTACATTTTCTATGGGTTATAGTTTCTAAGCAAACAGAAACCTGCACTTTGGGGCAGGCAAAAAACTTCAAAAACAAATTGATAAATGAATTATTTACTAGCAAGACTCTTCTTAGTTATACAGAAACACAACTTATAACATGCTTTTTTATGACCTATACTAAATAAATGGTATGTAATGATAAATTATTGATTCAATAATGTTTTAAAATAAAAATTTGTTGAAACAGTTAGAAAATCAATATTTACTTAAATTTTAAAATTTGTCACAATGAATATTTTTTGCTTTCATAGAAACTTAAATCCTGATATAACGATTAATTAAATACTAAACATGTCATGATTAATCATTTTTTATAAATACCATATATAAAAAAGTGATGAAAACACAAGCTTTATTTGTGAAATTAAAAAAGTATTTACTATACAAAAGTAGGTTAACGTTTTAAGACAATGTTTTAACCAAGTCAAATCATGGTAACAAACAAACATTTCCCAAGTTAAAGCCATTGTGTTCCAAACTTTTTGTTATTACTTGTCCAAAACTTTGGGGTGAGATCCCAACAGGATAGTTTACTCTGTGTAGTGTACAATGGAAGAATGTTGCATTTAAAGACTAAAACCAATGACCTTGGCCAGTTCACACCTCCATCCTTTTTCTTTTAAATATAATACAAAATATACAAGATCCACACTGTATCATATCTTCTAATATTGAGTGAATAGGTTCACATTAAAACCTCAATTTTCTGATTTATGTCTTGAAGTTAAAAGTTATATAAAATATTGAAGATGCCTTTTAATGTTTGGAAACTATCAAGAGATCAACGATTTTGTTAACATTAAAAAAAGAAAGATTCTTACGCAGTCTGAAACAGATATTCTGCTTGATCAGCTGATTGAAGACGAAAAACGTGTCTCTTCTTCCTGTAGTCGACAGCCATGGTGGCCAGACAGTGGTGAATGTGTACAGCGTTGTGGAGACTGTTATACAGCTGGTTTTTTCCAACACTGTGTTCATCCTGTTTCATTAATTAAAACCAACATAAGTTGTTCCTACATCAGTTATATATTATTGTTAACTTTTATACAGACACTTTCTTATGGGAGCAAAGAAAAACAAAACAACTGTGTTTCATTTAAACAACAATCACAGGTGACAAAATAAATATTTGTCTTTATGAATCAGTAGGAGCTCTTTACTTTCACGTAATCCAATAACCATAAAAGATTGTGATTAAATCCAATCATCACCACACATATGGAAAGTTTTGGAACTGAACTAATAATAGTTCTTTTCTCCAACTTTTGTCTAAATAAATTATGTTTGGGATTCTCCTTTTCAAACAATTATCAAGTGTGGTACATTAACATCTGCCACACGAGCCAGCCCAGCATCTTGATGTGGTATATTAACATCTGCCACACGAGTCAGCCCAGCATCTTGATGTGGTATAGCAACATCTGCCACACGAGTCAGCCCAGCATCTTGACGTGGTATAGCAACATCTGCCACACGAGCCAGCCCAGCATCTTGATGTGGTATAGCAACATCTGCCACATGAGTCAGCCCAGCATCTTGATGTGGTATAGTAACAACTGCCACATGAGGCAGCCCATCATCTTGATGTGGTATCGCAACATCTGCCACACGAGTCAGCCCAGCGTCTTGATGTGGTATAGTAACATCTGCCACACGAGGCAGCCCAGCACCTTGATGTGGAAAAGTAACATCTGCCACATGAGTCAGCCCAACATCTTGATGTGGTCTAGTAACAACTGCCACATGAGTCAGCCCAACATCTTGATGTTGTATATTAACATCTGCCACACGAGGCAGCAAAGCATCTTGATGTGGTATAGTAACAACTGCCACACGAGTCAGCCCATCATCTTGATGTTGTATATTAACATCTGCCACACGAGGCAGCACAGCATCTTGATGTGTTATAGCAACATCTGCCACACAAGTCAGCCCAGCATCTTGATGTAGTGTAGTAACAACTGCCACACGAGCCAGCCCAGCATCTTGATGTAGTATAGTAACAACTGCCACACGAGCCAGCCCATCATCTTGATGTGGTATATTAATATCTGCCACACGAGCCAGCCCATCATCTTGATGTGGTATATTAACATCTGCCACACAAGCCAGCCCAGCATCTTGATTTGGATAAAAAAAAATGTCATACTGGAAAGGTTTGGGTTGTTTTGATTAGACAAAAAGAAGATGTTTGACACTAGTTTCAAGGTCCAAATCGCTGGACCAGACCCATGACTGGACCTATGATCTGACCCAGGACCATGAGAGCCAACATGAAGAAGTGAACTTGTAAATGTAAAGTAAAATAATGTAGCAATGAAACATGCTTGAAATGTTCTAGATGTGGTCATAAATGTGACAGTTTAAGTGTAGCAATTAAACTAAACCGTGGGTCCAGGTCCGAGGATGGAAGATCTTATTCAAAGTTATCCCAATCGATTTGGCGTGTCAACTGAATCAGATGGTCATCAATTGATTACTATCAATTTGACATACCAACTGAATCAGATGGTCATCAATTGATTACTATCAATTTGACATACCAACTGAATCAGATGTTCATCAATTGATTACTATCAATTTGACATACTAACTGAATCAGGTGGTCATTAATTGATTACTATCAATTTGACACACTAACTGAATCAGATGGTTATCAATTGATTACTATCAATTTGACATACTAACTGAATCAAATGTTCATCAATTGATTACTATTAATTTGACATACCAACTGAATCAGATGTTCATCAGTTGATTACTTCATTGACAGCAGAACATGAAGAAATGGGCATAACAGTATCATTATCTTCAAAAAGGGGGATTGGATTTATATATACAAACTCATTAGTTTCAGTATTTTTTAAAACCAATGGCACAGCAAAGTCCAAAAATGCAGTGTTGAAATTGAACGATGTATTACAAAACTTTTTTATTAGTAAAACTTTATATTTTATCTGTTATTACCTTTACCTTAACAACATACTTGATTCTTCAGCCTGCAGGCAAATCACCAAAGCACAATTGAAAGTTGTAAAATCAGAAATAAAATGATCAGTTGTTTCCTTTTTTCTTTATTATCGGTCAAGAAGTTTCAGAGTACTTCTCTTGGGAGTTTGAACTGCTAAACTTTTCACATTTATTTTCTGTGTTTATTTTACTGTCAATGACTAAAGTAGGAACCCACTGAAAATAAAACAGTAAATTGCCACTTGTGTCAGTAGACAGTTTACGTGACACCATAATATGATACCCTCGAATGCAACATAGCACAAGCAAAGAGATAGCTAACTTGACCGAAAACAGGATTTCTAATGTATAGGACTATATATCCAACAATGTTTTCATGGAAAGTTCAGAGTTGTCGCACTGCACTTATAATCAGTGAAAACGTTTATGCTGACAACAGAACATGGAATTTATTGGCTTATGAATGTATCCTATAGTTTCGCAAACCTTCTAAGTCTAGTCTTTTTTATAAAGTATAACATTACTTACCTGACATTTATAAAATATTTTACCTTTCCAAATGGTATGAATAAACCTGTTTTTAAGTTGACAAGTTTTTAATGTTGTATAATTTGCTTTCATTTTACCTAAATTTGGACAATTAGAATAATACACATTCAGTAGGCATAACTCTGTACTGACCTACAAACTATAAACCTTTAATTGTAATACAAGTATTTTGCAAATTACTGTGATATTTTGGCTATCATATATTACGTATGTGTTTAAATGTTTATTTTTCTTAAAAAACAGAATAACAAATAAAAAATACACTGAAAAACATAGATTAGTGGAGGGGAAACTGCTCTTTCTATTGGTTATAAACACACACTAATTAGTAGATGTGACAAGACAAGAAGTTTCAAAAGAATGGAGTAGTGGGAGGAGCCACTCTAGTAGATTTGCTAAAAGTATTGACATCTCCGTGAATCATAGAGGTGGGAGGTTCTTATTTTATATCTAGCTTGTCCATATCTCAAATTTAGTTTCTAATTCATTAGCCATTGTACACATTGTATGGTAGGTGCATTAAAATGTACACTGAGCAATAAGACAAGAGCATGTGTGATGTGAAACACAAAAATCAATATTTAGCATTTTTTCATTAATTTCCTTTCAAATTAAGAAATTAAATGATAATATTAGAATTTAAGTTATAGACTACATTTTGATGCCAATTTCATTGATATAAGTAGTAAAGTTATTTAATAAAACTTTGAAAATACTCTCCAAAACATCATGATGTGCACTTTAACCCTATCGCCCCAGGTATCCTTTACTGCACATGACACAAAGTTTTTGTCTTACATTCAAAATTTTATTAAACTAATTTTTGTTTATGTTATACAAATTAGTATAGCATAAAATCTAATCTAATAATCCATATTTCAAAAGTATATAAGTTTTAGTATTTATTTCTATAAGGCAATATTTAAAAAAATCCTGAATTTCCCCTAGTGTGACACACGTGACATTTTCTCTAAATATCTTCTCTTCTCTATTTTATCCACCACCCCTCCAGTAAGTATGAAATTAAATATAAATTATTCACTATAAAAATGTCATCGCTCAGACAAACTATAATTTTTATAGCCTTCAATTTTGTTTAGTTACAGAGCTATCAAACAAAAAATCAGACCCCTCCTGCTACACCCAACTGTCACATTATCTCTTTCTTGCATTTAATTATATATTACCTATAACCAATAGAAAGGCAAGGTTTTCATCTATCAAATGACGTATTATATTGTTATGTTGTGTTCTGAACAGATAATTGCCAATTTCACTCGTAATACAACTTTGATTCCCACGGGAATCACAATGGCTAGCTTGGATGAATTTTAACGGCTCTTGTCACACAGATAGAAAGCCAGAAAAATTGTGATTGTTAGAAGAAATTGTCTGCTTTTTGCATGTTATTAGTTTATGTTCTTCGGTGCATTATTTAATTAAATAAAAAATTTTCAATGCACTACTAACATTAGTTTAAAAAGGTAGGGTTAAGTGTCATCAACAGTTGACAGCAAAAAAAAAGAAGAATATTCCGATAAGTACTTTATTTTTTTCTATGTTTATTCTTTATTTATTATTATAAAAGTAACTAAAATCTAAACATACAGATCTTTTTAACTTATTTAAGACTAGATTAGGTAAAATAAGTAATAATAATAATAATAATAATAATAACATAATTAAAATAGTTTATGAGACACACACACGCAAGCAGCTCATGGATAATGTAATTCAATTGCGTAATGTGAATCACACATTCCCCGAGTGGTTTACAACTTATAATGGCTCAGATAGTAGTTAGACAGAGTTCAACGGACAATAAAACTATAATCTAATTAAAATATATGTAAACTGTTACAAGTTTAAAGCTACTTAGGAAAACTAATGTAGTTTCATGTTACATTTGAAGTCATTCTAGAAAGAAAAAGAGGTAAATTTAGATTTATTTTGATTTTTTTGGTGGTTACAAGGTCAATCAAATTGACCAACCTTGTATAGAGTTAGAAGAGAGAAAATTACAGATAAAATTTAAAATTAAGTTTTACTGAATACAAACATTTGAAATGTATGTAGGAGGTTTTAGAGATTACACAAATGAAATTTGAGATTTTTGAGCTGACGAAAAGTAATTTTAATCTTAACATGAAAATTAGTTTGCACACAGACTATTCAAAATAAGTACTCGATATATTCAAGAACAAATCTATTTTTAATTCATTAAAAATACTTCACTAAAAAATATGATTTTTTATATGTGAACGACGTATAATGTTGACTGAAAGACTGCCAAATTTTCTGAAGATATACACACTACATTATCAAATCTATAAAGACTTTGAACGAGTACAAAAATACTTCACTAAAAAATATGATTTTTTATATGTGAACGACGTATAATGTTGACTGAAAGACTGCCAAATTTTCTGAAGATATACACACTACATTATCAAATCTATAAAGACTTTGAACGAGTACAAAGAGGTCACATGGTCGGTCAAAATGACCAAGCCTGTGTTGAGAGAGTTAACCTGCCTAAGGCAAAAGGGTTAATATTGATTTTTTTTTTCATTTTAGAAACTGTGCCAAGTTTCATTCATTGAGATCAAACAAAATAATCTTAAATCATCTGTTCCCAGAATGATCCCCCTTTAACCATCCTAAGCTCAGTATGAAAAGATGCTGAGCTGGCTCATGTGACAGGTGTTAAAAACAAACTTTGCACAAAAATTGAAACTAACTAATTGACATAAGAGTTGCCTTTGCTTTTGTTACTATTAGTGAAAAGACTGTTTTTAATTTGACACAAAGAAAGCGGTAAATATTTAATTGCTTTTTTTTTTCAGAACAACTTACCTTGTGTAAAAATAGAACCATGTCTCGTAGTGTGGCATAGAACATCTTCCAACCTCTTTTGCCAAGTGGAGCTGTAAATAAAAGACAAATATAAAATATAGATATATTGGAAAGAATCTTATTATGAAAAATATTGCAGATTCATTCCTATAATCTACTTATGCTTTTCCACATTTGGTGAGGACTCTACCCACTTACCAAACTACTGCCAAACAATCTTTTTTTTTATTATTATGCATACACAAGTGTGCTGATAATGAACTAACCTATTGATTGTTAATATTTTATGCACCTTTATGCATTATTAATAGCTTCTGTTGAAGCTGTAATAGTAAAATATTGAGCTCACAAAAATACATTCTGTAGATAAAGGTTCTTATTTTACTTACATTAAAAGAAATATAAAGATAGCTACTCTTTTTTTTTATAACTTAATAGTGCAAGTTTAACAGCAAATATTAAAAACACATCACTAGGTTAACCTTACTCAATACTTATGTCGTTGATGTAATACTTATAAACAATTGTACAAACACATGCATATAAAAATCAAGTGGACAAAAGCTAAGATTGTAATCATTTTAATAATGACTAGATCTTTACCAGGAACAATTCAATTTAAAAAAATTAACATTTTTCTTATGCTGAAAATGTATTTCTGATAGATACTTACCTCCTGTCACACAAAGCTGTCTAGATCTTTTTCTGCCCTTTGAGTATTGCTAAAAAAATTTTGCAATCAGCACACCAGTCTATATACCCCATCAATTTTGCACCATTTATGAGAGACAACTCTCCACCAATAGTACTGTGCCACCTATATTGGTACAGCTAGCTCTCTGTGCTATTCCCATTCACTTCTTACTTTCGAGAATTGGCAAGTGCTAAAACAAAAACACCAGCCATGGGAAGTGTGTGTGAGATGAGGTAAGTACCTATCAAATATAGATTTTTAGTGTAAGAAAAATTGTAACTTCCAATATGATCTTACCTCCTCTTACACAAAGCGAGAATCCCACATTGCAAAGGTGGAGGGGCCAGTTTAGGCTCACAACATAGATACCAAGCAGAAAGCAACAGCCAAAAATGAACAGGTGTGCTCGGAGATTAACTAAGCACATAAATAGAAGTACCACACTACTTCTGGAACAGGTATGCTCTTTGCCCTTGAAAAAGGAAATGAATCTGTCAAGGGCAGATACATATATAACCTCAACCAGACATACAGAGTTTCATAACTCGTCCTCAGCATTATGAAGATATGCACAAATGCTATTTGTTCTGAGAGACTCAATGCATAGTGAAATATAATCAGAAGTATCTATGTACTGGACCTGCTCCAACCTACAATTTAATTTTCTTTCTATTGTTGTCCACCTGGAAAAAAGTATCCAGGAGAAATGGAAGGAGAGAAACCACCTTTGCCTTCTTCTCCCCGAGTGTATAATCCTCAGTATGTATGATAAATTAAATTTCTAACTCACTCAGGAAGAAGCCTCCATGGTCCACCAACCCTGCAACTGGGAACAGGGAAGTGGTAAGGACTCCAGTGTTCCACTTGAAGTAAAAAAAGGGGGGGGGGAAGGAAGTAAACATGGTGGGGGATTCCAGAGGAATGTCACACCAGAGAAAGTGCAATGAAAGTCTATAATTCCCTATTTTAAAAAGCAGACCAACCCCAATTTTTGCAATAAAAAGGTCGGTAGGGATGGGCAGAAATCCCTTTCTGCTTTACTCATGAAGTTCATGAGTGACAGTCTACCACTGATTGTAACTTATGTATACCTAGAAACATATATATATATATATATATCCACAACACTGGATATGCCACCAGTAGTCATGAGGAACACTCCATCTCTACAGTGAGGGTTATAGTACAAGCAGTAAATAGTGAAGGTTTGAGGCAAAGCATACCTGACTAGGCAATACCCGCCACAAAGTGGGATCCAATTATCAACAGTTAAAACTAGGGTTTCTGAAATAAAACGATAAATGAAATGAAGTGATAAGACTTACCCTAGTTAAAGGTGAACAGACATATAGAACTGCCAAGGAAAGTAGACGATATCCACTTCAGGTCATGCAGCTAATGAACGATAAATATATTGGAAATAGTCCGCATTGGAATCTGAACGATCACTTCCAATGCCATGGTCTGGTCTGTGTCTAGCCACCAAGCCAGAGATCTGAGTAGAAGTTCCACTGATATAGGAATGTCCACTGAAGGGAACACATGCAAATCAGGACCATGGGAAAGAGCTTCCAAGAAAGCCCACATCCCCAAAGAGATAGAACATCTTGACCTGAACGAAATGTGAGGTGAGTGACATATGAACTGCTCGCTCCAAACCAGAAGAGAAAGAGGAGAAGGCTGAGCCAGACTGAGGTTGGAATGAAGACTCCCCCCCCCCCCAAATGAACAGGATACTGAAAAGCAGGTAACAATGGACTCCCCCACTGTCATCATGAATCCAACTCATGCTGCATTCTGTATGAGCAGAGAAGTGTGGTCTCTGGACTGTGAATGGGAAAGAAGCAAGCAGAAGCCGGTCATCAATAGAAAGAAGAATGGAATGAAGATGTTTGAACCGGAAAACAAGACTTAGAGCAAACATAACTACAAAAAAAGTGGGCACTGTGGGGAAGAACTCCAAGATGTAGGTTACAAGGAGAAGCTGAGGTTTCTTGCATCTAGTATTGACTGTGGGGAAGAACTCCGAGATATAGGTTACAAGGAGAAGCTGAGGTTTCTAGCATCTAGTATTGACTGTGGGGAAGAACTCCGAGATATAGGTTACAAGGAGAAGTTGAGGTTTCTAGTATCTAGTAATGGAAAGAAACAAACACACCAGCAATATAACAAAGCAAAAAAACTTAAGTCCTACACTGATGAAAATTAGGATGATAGTGCACACAGTGAACAATTACAAAAACAATTATTTGGATAGTACAATGGAGTATATAGTACTAGCATTAATTATATGTAACATACAAACTAACTAAACATACCTAGTTAACAAAGTACCTATAAATATCAAATGGACAAACCATCTAAATTTACCCTGTCTTCAAAAGGATGTAATAATAACAAACGTGCAAACCATTAAAATTACCTAGAAAACACAAAAATAATCAATATCTAACCTAAAATTCCTCTAAATTAACCGAGATGACAAAGGACACATAATTAAGTCCTACACTGATGAAAATTAAAATGAGAAAGCATATAGTTAACATTGACAAAAAAAACAAAACAATACTCAAATACAACAATGAGTTAAATGTTACTAGTAGTAATGATATGTAACTTACAAACAATCCAAACATATCCAGTTAAAGTACTTATTACTAACGAAGTAACAAATCCATGATATTTGCCAAGTCTAAAAAGTAAATAATAACAACAAACGTGTAAAACAATTAAAATTACCAAAAAAAAAACAAAGTAATATTCCAAATCTAACTTACAATTCACCTAAAGTAACTTAAATGACAAAGGACACATAAATAACAAACTTACCAAAAGTTTTAGCACTGATGATGTCGAAATACTTAATTCTCCCATATGTAAATGAGAGCAAAGAGCATCTTAACCATGCCTACTATGAGTATATCAACCAGGAGTGAAGTGTACATGTTGAAAAACTTACCACAGAACCCCGGGAAAAACTGGAATCAGTAGGAAGGAAGAGAGAGAAGAACAATGTGCTGCCAAAGTGAAGGATGGCAATTGGTGGAAAGTGTGCCACATGAAAATAAGAAGGTGCCAGAAAAAAAAAGAGTCCAAATTGTCTTCTCATTGACATTATTCTTCTCCAGAAACACTGTCACGTTAAAAAGAAAAAAATCATCAGCCAAACATGAATCTAGCTCCCTGCCTGTACCAAATACAGTCGAGCCTGATTCCTGGGAAGCCTTACCAAGCTCCCTGCCTGTACCAAATACAGTCAAGCCTGATTCCTGGGAAGCCTTACCAAGCTCCCTGCCTGTACCAAATACAGTCGAGCCTGATTCCTGGAAAGCCTTACCAAGCTCACTGGCTGTACCAAATACAGTCAAGCCTGATTCCTGGGAAGCCTTACCAAGCTCCCTGCCTGTACCTCGTCTGTAAATACAGTCAAGCCTGATTCCTGGGAATCATTACCAGTAGCATTTTCGACTCTAACAGGAATTTACACATTCGATACATTGATCACAAATTCTCACTAATATCTCATATAATTTGGTAGCAAGAAATAAATGCAAACACATGTCTAAACAATGCTGTATCAACCAAAAAAGTGAAGATTGAGTGGGGGATAGCAGAGGTAGCTGGATTGCACCAATATAGGTGGCACAATACTATTGGTGGAGAGTAGTCACATGATACATACATGTTCATAAAAAGTGCAAAATTGATAGGCTATATAGACTGGTGCACTGATTACAAAAATTTTTATCAATGCTTAGAAGGCAAAAGGAGATTGAGATAGCCTTGTGTGAGGTAAGTCTGTATCGGAACTTAACACCACTATCCGTAACACACTATCTAAATACTTTGGGTGATTATGTGCATACACACACATTAGACATATAAATACAAAAACGTTGTTGTAAATTATTTTTTTTTTTGCTTACCCTCTTGCACTGTGACAATCTAAGCTCAACAAAAACCAATGAGAATCCAAAATAAGAGCTTATAAAATCACAACCTATTACCCTAATTTAATATTTCATGACATCTGTCACTTGTGAAAATTTCTTAACTAGCAAACTACAGATTTCTGTACTTTACATGCAAGTACTTACTTTTCTTCCCTCCTGGTTCTAAACAACATTTTTTCAAGACATAGCCCTTCTTGTATTCTGTAGCATAAGTTGGATCAGGTACCTATACATATCAAAATAACTTAAAACCTTTAACCTAAGTACAACCATCTCTGTATCAAACAAGCTTGATTATCTTATTTACATTCAATTATTTCTTACTTAAACTGACATTTGAAAACTTATCAATAAGACTAGGTGCTCCGTATAAGCCTTTATTTGCACTTCCTAAGCCTATCATTACATCGGGCTCGTGCTGTGATGATTGACATATGAGGATCTACTATAAAACATAATGAAGATGAAATGTTTTTATTACTCTCTTAAAAGATTATCTTCACAAAATGAAACCAAATTCTAGAAAGAATACATTGGTGAGCACTCTAGAATAATTACACACGCTACATCCATTGTTGAAAATTCTTCATTACTACTTCTTTCATAGACTCCTGATAAACAGTGATGCTAGACATTAAAGAAAGGAAAAACCTTCCAACAAAAAGTACAGTAGAACAATGAAAGAAACCTGAAGTGACAGATAGACAAAAATCTTACTGTACTGTGAGTCTAGCTAAATGCACTATGGAGAGGCAAGTATTATTGTAAGAAGTTAAATTTCTCTCAACTTGAAAATGTGTTTCAGGTAGGTAACTCTCCATAAATAACTAAGGTAGGGGTTGGCAACCCTTCAAAGAAGACGAGCCTTTACTTTTGTTACTGTCTAAGACTAAAGCATTTTGAACAATATGCACTAATGGTCTAAACTGGAAAAAAAAGGTCCCCCCGGTGGGACAGCAGTAAGTTTTCAGATTTACAATTCGGTGGACACAACAGAGAGCTCCACAAATATCCTTATAGCTGCAGGTTGCCGATCCCTGAGCTACAACCAAAACCTTTTGGCAAATATGCCAAACCATTGAAAGAGCTCTCACTTCTGATGACCTGTTACCTACCCCTATGAATTCCAGAATCATGTATAAATACATGTGGTGGCTGTAATGCCACTTGAATTGGCAAAACTATACACCAATTAAACGTGTGGATATATGGGAGCATCGACCCGTGGATGTATGGGAGCATCGACCCGTGGATGTATGGGAGCATCGACCCGTGGATATATGGGAGCATCGACCCGTGGATATATTGGAGTATCGACCCGTGGATATATGGGAGCATCGACCCGTGGATATATGGGAGCATCGACCCGTGGATATATGGGAGCATCGACCCGTGGATATATGGGAGCATCGACCCGTGGATATATGGGAGCATCGACCCGTGGATATATGGAAGTATCAACCCTGGATATATGGGAGTATCAAGCAGAACTGGTAAACAACTATCAAATCCTTAACCCTAACACCATGGGTATCCTTTACTGCACATGACACAAGGTTTTAATGTCTTACATTCCAAATTTTATTAAACTACTTTTTGTTTATGTTATACCAATGAGAACAGCATAAATTCTCAGCTAATAATCCATATTTTAATAGTATACAAGTTTTAAATTTGAATTCTACAATCAATATTAAAAAAAAACTATATTTTCATTAGTGTGACCCACATGACATTTTCGTTTCTATTTTATCCACAACACCGTGAAAAAGTACGAAATTAAATGTAAATTACTCTATAAAATCGTTATTGCTCAAACAAACAATAATTTTTATAGCCTTCAATTTTGTTTGGTTACAAAGCTATCGAATAGAAAATCAGACCCCTCCTGCCACATCCTCTCTTTCACAATTCGTTGATAGTTCTCTCTTATGTTAAATTATAAATTACCTATAACCAAAAAAAAGTCAAGGTTTTCATCTATCAAATGATGCATTGTATAACGTTGTCTTCTGAACAGTTAGATGTAAATTTCATTTAGAGTAGCAACATCATTTCCATGGGAAAGTTAACAAATAGATTGGATGAATTTGTAACGGCTCTAACCGCATAGTTAGAAAGCCAAGACAATTTTGAGAGGTAAGTGAATTTGTCCACTTTTTGCATGTTATTAGTCTATATTCTTTGGTGCATTATTTAATTAAATAAAAATTTTTATTAAGTGCATTACTATTAGTACAATAAAAAATTTGGCTTAACTGTCATCGACAATCAAGAGCAAGAAATACTTAACACCATGAACTTGCACTGTACATGTTATTATGTGCAACTCTTTCAACAGCTTGGTGCACAAGCCAAAACTTTACAGCAGTACTGCCAAGGCACTAACTACTTGATTTGTGGAGAGGTGACGATCATAGTCTGGAGAAATGAAACCAAAAGGTGGAAAAAAAATTAATCATTGAGTAATTTATAATCCATAAATATGAATCCTACATTTTGTTCAAAAGAAAACAGGATAAGCTCTCTTGACAGAAGCTTAGTCATGTGAACGAGATCTCTCTAACAGACTCTGTGCCAATATATGAATCAAAAACAGAAATGTTTCAGGAAGAAACTATTGAAATAGTTATTTCCCTAAAATATTAAACAAGGATTTAGATGAAAGTAGAGTAGAATATTACAAACAAATTGAGGTAAATAAATCAACACGTTTTCTTATTCTGCAAGATACTTTTCTGTGGACTTGTACACTTTTAGTATTTAATAGTAGCCTGAAGAGAGAAAAACGTTCGTCGAGCATGAATTCAGATGCTAGAGGACTTCACATTTAGAGCATGTACTTATCTTGAATGACTCATTCTATGATGTGTTAAAATAACACATGTACTTATCTTGGATGACTCATTCAATGATGTGTTAAAACAACACAGTGACATACTAGATTCTATGTAACTGCTTGTTTCTTAAGTTGATATGGGTCTTGTGCTGTTTAGTATTGACTGCTTGTTTCTTAAGTTGATATGGGTCTTTTGCTGTTTAGTATTAACTGTTTGTTTCTTAAGTTGATATGGGTCTTGTGCTGTTTAGTATTAACTGCTTGTTTCTTAAGTTGATATGGGTCTTGTGCTGTTTAGTATTAACTGCTTGTTTCCTAAACAGCAGAAGACCCATATCAACTTAACAAGCAGTTAATACTAAACAGCAGAATACCCATATCAACTTAATATTAACTGCTTGTTTCTTAAGTTGATACGAGTCTTTTGCTGTTTAGTATTAACTGCTTGCTTCTTAAGTTGATATGGGTCTTCTGCTGTTTAGTATTAACTGCTTGCTTCTTAAGTTGATATGGGTCTTCTGCTGTTTAGTATTAACTGCTTGTTTCGTAAGTTGATATGGGTAGATTTAGAATATACAAATGCATATTTTTTTTAAGTTAACTAGTTTGAAAATTTTTTATATTAACTATCTGGTCATGAGATTTAAATATCTGAGAGTGCGCTAGCACCATCTGTAGGGATGACACAGATGCCCGTATTAAAGAAATACAAAAGTCATCTGGATTTTCTTCTCTACAGATCATCAGAAGCTAGATATGAAGAGCTACCTGACATAGTCACTCTATCTCTGGTGTTTTTACCACTTTTCAACTATCCAGAGCATCCCAAAGTTATCTTACAAAGGGGAAGTAAACAAACAAGTATAAAGAAAAAAATTTATTGCTAAGTAAGAAAAGTCTTTTAGGACTGACTACTGAACTTCAAAAACAAGATAGGATATACAAAAGAAGTAAACAAACTGAACTTCAAAAATAGGAACTAAACAAGACAGGAATGGAAGTAGACATGTCACTTGGTCGGCTAATGATCACATAGCAGACTAAGCTGTCTTTACTTTACATGGAAAATAAAATTCCTACCTTACTGACTTCCTCACTAGCAAACCAAATAGAACCATAATTTCCAATCATAAAAATGTTATTCTATTGTAAAATGATCATAACAGTAGTATTTTAAGGTTAACTAAAGGAAAGGTATAATGACGAAAGCCGAGATTCTATTCAAACATTAATTTTTTGATAGACAGAAATGTAGCAATAAATGTTTTTCCTTATACATATATGGACAGTAAGGTACATTAAAACTTGAGTAACAAGGTAAAATAAGTAACAATATTGATACATTCTTACCTCTAGGAAAGGATTGTGTCCAATAAAACTCTGTCGTGTCGGCTGAGTTCCAGCTCTAAGACCACTGTCCTCTCTAGTTGAATCACGGAGAGAATAAGTCAACATCAGAAAAACAAAAAAAACTGGTAACTTAGAAAAATGTTTTTTATAGAAAAATGGGGTCGACAAACAGGCTTTTGTTAAACATAATTTGTCACCATAGCAGCATGGTGTAGAGTCCAGAGTATTTTTGTTTTACTTCTCTACTTGGCCACTTTCAAGTACCTTTCTCAATTCTAGTTATTAATACCACCATTTAAACCAATCTGAATGATACCTTATGCATCACATGGGGCAACCAGATAGGTCTAGGTATAGCCATCCTTTTTTTACAGCTGTTGACCACCTAGAAGAAAATGTCACAACAGCACCTGATATACAGCTACTTCTAACCAAATAACTACCACACTTATAATGCCAGCTAATTTGAAAGTTACAACAATGTCCAGCAGCATAACATAGCTCAAACTTTAGAATCATCAGTCTGACACATTAGCTACCACGCTATACCTAACCAACTAACATGCTATACCTAACCAACTACCATCTTATACCTAACCAACTACCGTGCTATACCTAACCAACTACCGTGTTAGTTGGTTAGGTATAGCGTGGTAGTTGGTTAGGTATAGCGTGGTAGTTGGTTAGGTATAGCATGGTAGTTGGTTAGGTATAAGATGGTAGTTGTTTAGGTATAGCATGTTAGTTGGTTAGGTATAGCATATTAGTTGGTTAGGTGTAGCATGCTATACCTAACCAACTAACATGCTATACCTAACCAACTAACATGCTATACCTAACCAACTAACATGTTATATCTAACCAACTACCATGCTATACCTAACCAACTACCATGTGGTAGTTGGTTAGGTATAGTGTGGTAGTTGGTTAGGTATAGCGCTATACCTAACCAACTACCAC